TTTGATTTACACAGGGAAAAGGCTTGTTGTTCGGTGGCATGCAGCGCTACTCACGCTTCCACATTCCCGTTGCCTCTTTTCAAAGTGGGACTATTGTGAAATTGGTGATTATGATGCAAATTCGGCCTTTTCATTTCTTGGCAACACACAAAGGCCAATCACCATATATACAAGAGCCAGGGTCTGCCTTCTTTCTCTGTGTTCGATCGAGTGTGGGCCGAAAATAATAGCTGAAAAGCGGGCTGAGGGATCTCAATTTTTACGGCATCTCTTACCACTTCCCGATGAGAAGGGGTTAATTCCTCTCACTACAAAAATGTTATGCACCGCTTTTTGTTAAAATAAATGATCTTATCTCCTATTTTTTTTCTGCGGCTAAATCAGTTTGTGCATGCTTGGTTTGGTAGATATATGTACATGTACATATATATTTCTTCGCTATCTCCAACACTGTTTTCAAGGGTGATTACATGACCAGTAATTATATATTTTTGGTGTGGATATATCGGTGGGGGGGGGTAACTGATGCCTTGTTTTCCTTTCTGCTCACCGATCCAGTGTAGAGGATCTGTGTTTTGCTGAACTGTTTGTATTTTTGTATTTGTGACCTTTTCTTACTTGAAGGTACCCTCATCAAGTGTTTTACATATAGTAATAACATTAACTCTAAAACTAACTTAACAAATGAATTTAATATTGCTTTTACTGTAATTTGATATACTGTAATGAAATTGTACTTTTTAATAAAGGTATTCTGCAAAAGTGTTCTTATATATATGGGAGGGAGGGGATATAGCTCCTTGTATAGGGATTTATTTCGCTTTTAAGTAGCCCATGGGCTGGTTTTCTATTTGTAACGTAATTTTCTATATCTTGTGCTCTATGTACATGTATTTGTATCTGTATTGCCCCAAAATAAATAAATACATAAATAAATAAATTACAATGTTATACAAATACCCTCTTCACTGTTGAGACCTGTCCAACTCACCAGCACGCCTTTGATCCATCCAAACTTGACCCCTCCACTGGCTGCTGTAGTTGGGGGAGCCTCTATCTCCGCTAAGCCCCCAGCATCGACAGGGGTGTCGGCTGTTTGATTTACCGCAGTCTAAGGAATTTGGTGAACAGAATAGAGGGAAAACAAACATATTAGATACAAAAATCGGCTCCGACTTCGTAAGGGCGTTAATCTTGGTTCTGGACATCTGTGCCAATATATCTTTTCTATTTGCTGATTTCCTTCTGAAATATGCAAGACCTCTTTTGGATGTGCATATTACACGTGTGCACAATTATTTCAGCAAGGCTTTATGAAGACTATACTTCACTTGTACCCTGTGAAGGCAACTCAATGCATGGAAATGGATGTTATACCTCAGTGCCAGGATGCCAGTTACATTTACTTTGTCCCAATACAGGTGATCAACCCTCACATTCGCACTATGCTTGTATATTTTGGCCAAGCTGATGGGCAAACATTGCTTGCTGCTGAGCTACACTACCAGACTTTACCTTGGGCTCGTGAAGTTCATACAAAGTAGGGCGTTGCTTCCCTGATGCCAGCAGTGAATACCGATTTCTGTAGTGATCCAGCGAGGGTATTGCCTCTACAGTATGGCCAAAGCTATGGGCAGCCAGTGAATGGTCTAAACTCTCATCAACACTTTCCTGCTGGCTGGGGCTCATGGAGGCTTTGCCCATGTCCCCATTGCGCTTTAGACTGCTGGCCTTGTCCGTCTCCCTGATGATCTTCACATGGAACCGGCCATGTTTCTTCTTGGATGAAAAGTGCTTCTTGGAGCTGACCCTTGCCGCTCTACCGGTACCTTCCAGTAGTCCAGATTCCTCCATGTTACATTCAGACTTGTCTTCAGACTCTCCGCACGCAGCTGGCCCAGACCCACTACTGTCTTCAGCTGGTTCTTCAGACAGAGTGAATGCAGACCCCTGATCACTGTCCCCATTCGCACAAGCTTCTGAGTCACTCATTACTGAGGTAGGGGCAAAACCCCGATGAGGGCCAACTTCCTGTCAGATGGGAGTTACTACATAGGATGTGCTGCATCAAGGATGAAATTAAAGCTGCATTATACTGGCGTACATCAAATTAGTCAATCTTGCCTGAAGAAAAATCTGCTAATTAAAAATCCTACCAACTTTACCAGCTTTTTCCAAGCCATTTAAATAAGAGAGTAAAACCAACTGAATTACAATTTGTAGAGTAAGGACATCTTTTGAGATACATGTATTTCTGCGCCCTTCAAGTATATGCAAAGTATATTTACGTCCACTGAAGTTGTACAGTAGTGACGACCAGAAAATTGATACATGTGCTGGTACACGTACAAATCTTGTCACAATTTTTTTTTATCTTTCATTTTTGAAAGACTTTCTAGAAAAATTATAGGATTATTCAGTTATTTCAGGGCGTCTTACATCACACTCATCTTCTACAAAATTAACAAATTCTACTCTCGCATTCTGACAAGAACTCCGACATCAAATGTCTATCAATAACGTAGGTAGAAACCACAACATGGACTATGAGAATTTATGAAGTGCTACAATAATCTGACAGTTATCAGTAATAAAGGGTGGCTAAGCATTTGGCAGGATGAAATTGTAGTCTAGTGAAGGTTACTTATTGATTGGTATCACCAAATTTACTAAAAGGCTGCTGGGCTTGCTTCTGATTTGCTGAGAAGAGCCAAAATACAATCTTTCTTTTCGCACAAGTTTATTGTACTTCCTTCTCAGTAAAATATCCTCTGGTAGATTTCATTCAAAAGTAAATCAACTTAGGATGAAGTAAAATAAATCCACACAAGATTCAAGATTGCGCTGAATATACTATGTACACTCGCCCATGAAATCTTAACCTAAATTTCAAGTGTTTCTACAAGGTTTAACTGTGCTAGTTTGTTTCAAATTATATGAAGTGGATAGCTGAAAAATGAACAAACTTTAACTGTAGAGTAGGCCCTAGTATCATTTTTGATAGGCCTACCTAGCATGTAGAACCAGTGACGGTTCATCTATATAGGAAGCAAAGTGTAGTGCTTATCCTGGAATTATTAAAAGACCAACGAAAACCATAGATTTATGGAAAGAGTGATGTGCTTTATCCCTATAGCACATGCTGCTAGGCAACATTCAGTGGGCCAGGTACAAGTAATAATTAAAAGTTTGCATTTAACCCTACCTCCATGTAGGCCCTACCATGATTTAACAAAATAAAGGCAGATAGGCCTAAGCTAAGCCTACACGTACATCTGTACGTGTAGCCTACATTATTATCCGTTACCCTCCTTCAGTATTTTTAGATGTTAGCCGACTAGACAGAGCTAAAAGTAACTTTCATGACTGTGGTTATTAGGCTAGAGTCATCGTTATTTTGGTACATGCTGGCCGGGCTACGTCATCATCAGAATCATCCTTACGTGTCAATATTTTAGGCCAAGTCAACTTCTGGTACAAAGCATTAGCACAGTAAAAATAGGCCTTGTAAGTGTTACGCCCCGAATACAGCATCAGTACCAAAATTCATTTCCTGGTTCCTTTAATGAAATTCAGTATATCCACAATGGCTGGGTCAGGTAACCAGACGTGAAACAAGCTGGTGTGATGAGGTCATCTTTCGCCAAACTCAAGTAAAAAGATTCTGATTTTTCAAAATTTACCAAAACTAGAGCTACTAGGATTAAGGAATGGATCCTCAAGGTCTGAATGTTAGTTTGAAAAAGTTAAAATTCCTTATTCAAGGAACTGGGTGCTAATGGTAATGAAAGCCAAATTAACAACTATCGATTATTAACTATCAATTTAATAGTTGGGCCAGCCCAACTAGAGCACTACACAGAGGACAGACGCTTTAGTTGGGGCGTCACTAGCTCTACTGAGTGAAGCATTAGTAATCCTCTTTTTCAAATTTTGGACTGGATCAGCCATACCAGTATGTTATTAGGCCCTCTTTTGTATTGCTGTAGGCTAGACCTATATTACTTCCCTAACAGTAAGGTACTACTCCGTTGACCTTACTGAAGCGATCTTTTTTATGGTTCCAGACACTATGGCATTTTGAATGCTGCTAAGTTAGCCCATCTGATAACATAATAAAGTTTCCGTTTTCCACACAATTGGGGGATTCATTTGCAAACGGTCGAGCCTATATGTGATTAGTGTGGATCCCTGACCACAGATTTCCCAGACGTCTCTATACATTATCTTAAACTTTATTAGTCTCACAACTTCACAACCGAATCTTCAAAAAATATTATCACTCCATGAAGTAGGTATTTCTCAAACATTTGAAACCTGTGTAAACAGCTAGCTTGACCACGTAGCGGCTATCGTGCGCCTTGACATCACCACCTCCCACTTTCTCAGACGTCTCTATACATAATCTTAGCGGGAGTAGTTGGAATTATGGGGACTGGTATCCAAAGCAACAAAAATGTTTGTTATGCAAATATGCTGCGCCTGTTTTTGTCACGTGACATACGGCAACAAAGAATGCGCTATGCAGATTCGCGCAGATTGTCAACATGGTCGAGGGATGAGATTGAAGATTGCAGAAAGAACCTCATTTTTTGCCAATAATATAATAATTAATAGGTAAAACTGTAGCCCAGGTTGTACGAAGTCTACATTGCGTTGTACTTATGTCCAGGGTATGAAAGTCCTCCTACTATGCGAAATTTTTTTCAACAGTTTTTCTCACATTTTTACCTGACGAAGACAGCTCAAAATGTTGTTCACACATGCCTTGTATCCTGAATTCCATAAATGCTGTGATGAAATTACTAAATACATGTTTGCCTGTGGACAATGTATTTTGCAGAAGATTCTGTGAAACTCCATACTTTCCGTCATGATTCGTGAACGACCTACGTTCGTGTAGTAGTACGTATTTGCACATGTACAAAATGGCCTCCAAGCTCAGCCCTCATTCTGTCAGTTACATGTAAGCATGTTGTCTAGAGCTAGGTCTTTGCTTCATTAGAAATACATAGAGATGCGCAGACAATAGATCTAGCCATATCTTTGGAAGCCCGTTCGGACACGGCCTTATCTGCGACTTCTTCACGCTCATGGCTTTTCTGCACATGCATTCGGTTACTAAGTGGCATTCACTTACTAGGAATTTTGCGCATGTGCGAGTTGAGTACACGTGCTAGACGAATGTCATTTACATGTAGAAGATGAGTTGCAACGAAAAGCATGGAGTTTCGCACAATTTCCTGCAAAATACGTTGTCCGCAGGCGTGTTTAATAATGTCAACACAGCATTTATGGAATTTGGGATACAAGGCACTTGTGAACAACATTTTGAGCTGTCTTCGCCAGGTAAAAATGTGAGAAAAAACTGCTGAAAATTTTTCTTTTAAAATTTCGCATTATAGGAGGACTTCCATATCCTGGACGTTAGTCGCAATGCTTTGTAGAGGTCGTCCAACCTGGGCTATGTTAAACGCTACAAAAAATGCCATAGCGTGTGGAACCATAAAAAAAGATCGCTTCGGTAAGGTCTACGGAGTAGTACTTTACTGTTGGGGAAGCAGGCTTATGTAATTTACCGAACACACCGCTGCCGCAAAAAAACACCACACACACGTACACCCACTACACACAATCACTCACATGGAATCCACTGGTTGGAACATAAAAAAAAAAATCTATCGATACTGTACGACACATGCGAAGAGCAATGGTCAGCAAGGAAAGGAACCCCGACTGACTGACCAAACTGTTTCCGTATCCAGAAATTTATGCAAAAACATGCACCTATGATGCAGATACGCAGCATGCCTAGTACCATGATTCTACCTCCATGCTAGTACAGTGTACTTGCAAGCTGCGGTTCCGGCCGGCCCGCACATGCACAGTACCAGCATAGAGCTACATGCTCTATGGTACCAGGCACCACGGGCGTATAACCACATGCTTATTGGTTGGTGCGTACCTGTCACTGATCGCGACCTGTACGTACACGGTACTCGGCCAGTGTGTAGAGAGATCTGTGATGGCTATGCGTGATTGAATAGCGCCCCTGTGCGGCGCGCGCTGGACAATCTTTGATGTGCATGTACAGTGTGCTCGATCCTCCTATTTGTGCGCACCATGGAGGTAGAATCACACCTAAGGCGTTGAAACAAGATTTCCAGAAAACTAAAATGTAGTTGAATTTTTTAGAGGTGATTTTATTTTCACAACTCACAGTTTGTCATCGAAGCAATTCACACAAAAATTACTTCTTTTTGTGCCCAGGAGTAGGCAGCTTTAGTGGGTTCGACCTCGTGTGTGTAAAAATTCCTGCCCAAGTCTGCGCAGCTGGCGGCTTTTGAAATATACGGTGGCCAAGATCGACGTGCTACACAAGATATATTTATTGAAAGGGCGAGTCCTGGTGTTTTGCATTGTAACTGCATTGTAACAGGACATATTCGTTGATTTTTTAAAAGCAATTTAAACAGATTCAAATTTCAAATCTTCCAGTACTCATTTCCATTTCTTTTGAGTAACTTTCTTGAACGGGAAAATAAATTTTGATAAGGAACAGTATTTTAACTTTTTACAACACTCCCTCGAGCTCCCTCGGTCAGTCATTATTTAACATGCTTGCATAATAAATTACAAGTAAAGTCCCTTAATGTGTCCTTTGCTTATTTACATGTTTGTTTTGACAGTCTCCACTAGAACACTAAATATGGCACCCCGTATCCTCCAGTGATATGTCCCCTCTTCTGTACAATCCACTCCATATTAACCATCTAAATCGTCTCTAAATCCCCGTTCAACATAAATCTGCAATCATAATAATGAACTAATAATTTTCAAGAGAAGACAAATAGTCTTAATGTCCTCCGATAACACCTTCCTGGGACTGGTAGACCTATTCCATTCCAACATTTACTGCCATGTTCTTCGTTATTTGTACAGCCTACAACCACCATCACAAGTTAGTGAACACCCCCTTTCCCATCCCTCCTACACCCTTGGGTTTATTCTGTGCCCTATCAGGTTGGCTCATATCCCATCCCACCACTGATTACCTTTATTCATGAATATGAGCAAGTCAGTGTCAGTTCAAGTAATCTAGCTCTCTTCTGGAATGAGAAACACTAAAAATCCACCAGTAACTTTTATTCATATTTACTCACTTGACAATATAAACAAAACATTAACATTTTGAAACTTCAAATATAAGAGAAAGGTCCTATTTGCACCCCTTTTCGCCGAGTCAGTATATTTTGATGACATAACGTGATACATTAAAAATACATACTAGACAATAGAGGGCGAATAGATGCGAACAATTACAAGCAAACAGAATCTTCCTATTCAAAAATCTAAATAATAAAAGACAAAACAATCACCAAAACCATTTGAGAAACAAATTATTGAAAATTTTAATTGAAAAAATTAAACGTTACATGTCACAAAAAATAATTTCACCAAAAATGAATTAATCACGGGCGAACAACATTTTCTTATCAAAATGTAAATGGTAAAACACAAAACAAACTCTAAAACATTTATAACAGAAATAATTAAAAAAAATAAATAACCAACAACTGAAAACAATATGTACCCAAAAAGTTCCCAAAATGAAAACAGTAAATCAAAATACGAAATAATTTGGGGAAAAAATGTCCAAACCAAACGTCGCCAGTAGTTTACTTCAATTTTTGCTAAACGCAAATCATTTGAAAAATTCTGAAACAAATTTGGTTTCGACGTATAATACTTTATTTTTTGTAAAACTAATTTTGACCCTTTTGGCCGATTTTCGCCCTTTTGGACGCCCGGATTTTTTTTAAACAAACTTAAACTAACTTTGTTCCACCGTTGGGGGCGTCATATACCATGCGCAACCATTGTGTTGACATCAGCTAATTGCCCTTTGATTTTACTTTGTTAAAATTTACTTTTGTTAAAATTAATTTTGGTGATTTGGGCTGCCCATATGCTTGGTGCAACCTGAATTGAATTTCATAGTCGCGCCACCCATAACCCTACTCGCCGAAAAGCAGCCGAACAGACGATATCGGTATTTTTAAGCAACTGCCTTGCCAGAGTAGGGTGCCGCATCAAATAGATTGATGCAAAAATTAAAAAAAACCGAGGTCCACTGTTCAATTGAGGTGATCCGAGGGGGTTGATTGTGGGGACGACAAAGTTGCAAACGAAATGCAGAATATAGCAGACGACTAACCTACGAGGGATACTTTGCAAATTTACAACAACTAACACTGATTATTTATCCAATAGTAAACCAAACGAACCGACTTGGCAAACTGCTCAGACAAAAGTGACCAGCACACACATTGGTTTTGCCTATGAGGCTGTAGCGAAACAACGGGGTCGTAACTCCAGCGCATGTGTGGTCAGCGGAGGAATTTACTCCAGCAACCCAGCCTAGTGGCGATAAACTATTTGAAGCCCCAATGGGCCTAAAATGAATTAAATATTTAAAAAGGTTGAAACTAATACAACTTTGTATTTCTAAAAAAAAAAAAATATACAAAAATAAACTATATACCAGAACCACTACTTTCTATAGTTGTATAGGTCATGTTACAGCTTATACTGCATACAAGCTGTTTCATCAAATTGGGACGACTGAATTCTCTTCTTACATAATTTTATATGGATTCTTACATACCTGTATGATTATAAAATAAATGCTTCCATGACTCTTGATTTGAATGTTATTTTTCAAAATTTTCATACCAAAAATAGAAGTGCATTATCTTTGAAGAAACTTATTATCTGAACTGTGAGATTTCTTTGATTTTTAAAGTTTTTAAAAGTTAGTAATTAGGTAGTAATTAGCTAATGAGGAAACATTATGTAACACACAGCTAACAATTTTCATGGATGTTATACATAAACAGATCTATAACCCGCCATGAATATGAAAAATGAGTACAAACTTTTGAAAGTGATCTTTCACAAATACGAAAGGTCCAGATGATATGTTGCAAAAAACTATTAAACACACATTGGATGTCTCTTGCATGGTTTGTGCTAAACATTTTTCTAAGGTCCTGTTACTCGCAATGAAATACTATCATCAATGCAAAAACATTTTTTTTTAATTCAGTGTGACTGTCATTATGATCAATCATGCATTATGAACAGGAACCAACACAAATATGAACAATTTAAATTGATAGAACGAATGAGAGCGATTAATAGATAATAACACATGTTATTACTAAAACACAGAAGAAACTTTTAAAAGAACAAAGTTTGAAAAGCCAGAAAGTTTAGATTATAAAGCCCAAGTATGAGAAGTTTGGATACAGGAAAAGTATTTCATAATTCTGGGGGGTTTTGATGAAAATGATGCCGTAAATTTTATGATCCTGCAATCAAGCATGCCTTTGAGTGCAAACTGAATGGGATGATTCAGAAATTATCCAGGTAGGCCTACATGTATTTCGATACTTCTATAACATGTAAAATGACACACAATGTACAAGAAGCACATTATCTCAGTCTCTGTCTCTGAATTGTGGGATGTCAGCGGCAGCCTGACGCTTAGTGTCACAACTGCTGTACATCACTTCTTTCTGCAAGCTGGTGTGTGTAGGTGTTGCAAGGTCAGTTCAGCCTTTAATTGGTCAAGCCGTGGCCGGGTTACGGGGTGGGACTTCCAAGTAGGCCCTACGATGACAAAAAAACAAGTTGGGAGGGGAAGATAAATCGTGGCACTTATTCCAAAAGCAGTTGGGATGGAATGCACGCGTAGCTGAAAATGAAGCAGTGCTTTTATTAAGATAGTGGTGTGATGGACATCTCCTGGAGGTCAAAAGGCAGACAACAATTAGCAGGACATACGTGATCTCACGAGGGCAGGGCCGATCACCTCCTCAGGGTAGCCAGAGCTACCCCTATTACCCGCAAAACAAGTAAAAAATACTCAACTTGCACATTGGGCTGTCGCACATCCAGTGAGCATCTGAGAAACAAACAGACTCACACAAGAGTTAGTAACATCATAGAGGTGGGTTGTAGCTCTATGGTAACATGCACAAACAACAATTTTAGGGGAAAGACAGACAAAACATGCATGAACCAGTCACAAAACGCAGGCAACAGTTAACAAGATACACGTGATCCTGCAAGGGCAGGGCTAATCACATGCTGAGGGTAGCAAGAGCGACCCTTACTATACCCGCAGAACAAGCTAACTGCACATTGGTCACTTGCACATCCAGCCACATCAGTCAGGTAGGCAACTTCATTTCTAGTCATTAGCCTTTCAGTTCGACGTGAAGTTATTGCCTGGAAAATATAAGATGAAGAGTTGCCATTCTAAACATATCAAAACAGAAACAGGAAGAATGACATCCACATTTAATTAGAACAGAAGAAATGAGTTTTATACACAAACATGACTGTGCATGGACACGCCGTAAACAAGTCTATGAGAAAGGTTTGAAAATAGTGAATTTATTTTCTAGGTAACACTTGAATATTTTTCCCTCATGCTAACTTTGTGACACTTTAGGACACGTTATCACTTTCTGGTGCTTGATATACCACTTCACGGAAAAATTAGTGACTCCTACTGAACAGAAATAGAAAACCAGTAGTCCTTTAATTCCTTTCGGGGACGTAAGTGGCCAGATCTGGTTTGTTGAATACATCTGCTGGTCATACGGTGTGGGCTACTGCAAGCCAATTAACACCATATTTTTCGTCTCTTAACCTATAATTGGGTACTGGCATTTGGGTTAGAGCACTCCGTGGATTTGCATCCCAGACTTGGATATTCTCAGTGTTTCTCGTCTGACGAGTCAATTGGCTCGCAACACACCGGTGTTACTCATTTTGCATGACTATTTGGATACACGCTTACGCTCTGTACACAAGCCCCACCAGACTGGTCTGAAAAATTGAATGCGAATGCCTCAGCATTTTCACCGTTACCTTTGGCTCTTGGAATATTTGCTTTCAATAAATAAATGAAGGCAATGAAATTTGGCGAAAGCAATTTAAATAAAAAGACTTGGTTACGGTATGAATTATTCTTACACAATCTCGTGATATAAAATGTAGATTACAAGAGAATGACGTGCCCATGACATTATGAATGTAATTTCGCCCTTGACATGGAGTATAAACGGCATATAAATCCAAAAACAATGACTTTCCACTGGAATTGGTGGAAGTTTAAGACATGCTTTGTTACAATGCAAAATTGAACAAATCGTTGCCGTGCGATTTTTTTCTCCTGCGTTTGATTCGGCACATCTTACTGTATTAGTAATGACGGCAAGTTTCTGACTTCCCACGGGATCCCTAAAAGACGCAACACATTCTTAGAGTAAACATATCTGTTATCTGTAATACGTTATGGGAAAGGTGATAGATTTTCGCGAACAGCTCACCTGCACCGATTCTCCATCTATACACACATCCACGAGCCTTGAACATCACGATCAGCAGCATGCAGGTTCAATTCACAACTGCTGAGCCTCCTGTTGTTTTGTTTCAATGGTACTTTCAGCTACTCGGGCTATTTGCGCCAATATCTCTACGTTTATTCATATCAGCATCATATTACGGAGTTAGGAAGAAGGTCCAATTTTCGAGGCAGGGGGAAACTGGAGTACCCAGGGAAAACCTACGAGAGCGAGTATGGACTGGAAACCAAATACACTAAGCCTGCTTAGCTGGCCTGCACGACGAGGCAGGCTGTTTTACACAATGCACGGCTGTGCACGACCACCTGTTCAGCGTGTTTATGCAGATACTTCAAATGCGCGCATTGTGCCGCTCGACGACCACGTGGTACTGAATGAAAAGACTACCTTGGTGAAGTTGGGAGTTACCCGGTGTGAGTATGCAAACTAACGTCTTTGAATGAAGATATTGCGTAGCACCCTGTGGGCCACATTTCTACCACCCTATTAGCGTTTGGGCGGGAAATATTAGAAATGGTCATGCAAATATTTTGCCCATTTCGTGCAAAAGGGATGCATTGTGGGTGGTTGTTTCAGGCCATTCGCAGTCACAGCGTCACACCGTTCATTACAAAAATTAACAAATTTAAAAGAAAAGAAATGACATCCCGAAAATTTATTTAAATGCTTCACCTTCAGTCAAACAATTTCTTAGATACAAATTATTAAACACGAGATACGATGCCCCGGAGTTAGCCTTCCACCTTCTTCTTCCACCGTGGGGGGGTGTCTGATAGGAATTTTTCCAGAGCAAATTTCCTCCCATAACAATACTGTTACATGTTTTTTTTTTCTTTTCCTATCCCGGGATACGGAAAGTTGTAATACGACGTGAAGCATTATGTTCCGACATTAACTAGACTGACGCACGTTAATGGTTGGGCATACGCCCTATACATGATAGGGCGTATGCATTCTTCTTGTTCTTCATCTTTCGACTTTGGTCCTTTAACAACTTTGGATCTTCATCAAATTTACATTAATGAAGGACCTTAGTTCGAAGATGGGCAGAGAACAATGCACAATTTTGGTACCTTAGCGATCTTCAGTTGTGCTCAAAGTTACACAAAGGAAAGATTTGGAAGCAAAGATTATACTAAAATAATAACGTCATGATGACGTCACCAAGTGATTTGACAGCTGCACGAAAAATAATGTGACATTTAATGTCCATTCTTTAAAGACAACATTCAAAATGCGGAAAAGCCTTATGCTCTGTTCTCGAACAGGCATAAAGTTCTCGTTTTTCTTTTCCTTTTCCAGACTCTTTCCCCTTAGGGTTTGTACACGTTCTCGTCCACAAGTCGACTTTGGTAGTTTTATATATCTGATTGACTTCAAACGTGGCAGACCTCCAGACAATAATCCAGTTTTCTCCACAGGTTTTGCACACGTTTTTCTACTACGCAATATTATTAATCTTAAAAGAGCATGTCATAAAGTCAAACTGAATTTTCACCATGTGGGCTAACGGTCCATTTCAAATGGAATGCAAGTGGGAATTGATTTATTTCTCATACAAAGCTCTGACACATTGACACGGACGTAACGATCGTGACATTTTGCTCCTGCTGGGCTTTGTTTACAGGGGTGCAAAAAGTTCTGAGCTTTGTATGTGCTTGGCTAAGATGATTAAAGTAAAATTCGGAATTACAACTGGACAGCTAACAAGCCTGAGAATTGATAGGTGTGTCTTTTCAAAAACAAAATGGATTTGCTCTATTTAAGGCCATGGGTTGCTGATATATCTAATGGTCACCGATTGGTCTTGGACTTGCTGAGAGCAATTGGGATGCAGGTGGTTAGCTTTGCGATCAAGGCCCTGTAAAATCCCTTATCCCGTACAAGATTTTTTAAAAACGTGTGACTTGTGTTCTTGCACTGCACATTTATATTTCCAAAGGTACTTCTTCGAGAGATTATCCCATGAGAGGTAGGTAGATTCCTCGCGTGTTTTTATTTCCAATCCGATCAGCAATGATCTTCAGAAAGTCGGGGTTTTTTTACCAACTAAATTTTGCAGCAATCTTTTTGTGAGTAAAAGGCTTACAACTCTTATTAACTTTGAGAAACTGGGTGTTGTTTGTACATTGCGCGATTAAGTATGCATTTAATTAATTAATTAGTGTTTCATTTTACGTCCGAATTCAATACTTTCACGACAAAACGCACTTGAAGCAAAAAACTCGGTGCTCTTCCACTGAACTTTGGTTGGATCAATTATTGACAATGAACAAATAATTGCAATCACTTTTGGATTAATTTTCTCTTCACGGGAAAGAACACGATTTTTGTAAGAATGTCCAGAAAATGTTTTCCCTCCTGAACATACTCATGAATATAAAAAGGACCACATTGTTTTTCAATGTTTACCTATCACCAAGATGAGAAACTACTACCTAAAATATACAGAAAACTTTCAATGTAATTGCAATACATAAACCCATCGACCCATCCACCCATCGACCCTTCTACCCACTGACCCTTCCACCCACCGAACCCACAATAAGCTCCGATTTTAAAAAATCCCAAAAAAGTCCAGATGGCCTTACATAAATACTGCACAAGAAGTGTTTCCTTTTCTTGTAAGTCCAACATTTGTGTTGAGGTCAATTTCTTAGACAACATGTATTTCATTTCCTACTACAAGCATGCACAAATCCGGAAAATTTTGCCTCATACCCTCAAAAGGACCATAAAGGCTTACATGTAATAAAAAATCCGACAAGTTTTGGCTGACGCTCCATCAAATTGATTTGGCCAACTATACATTGCTCCACATGGTGATAGCAAACTCACAGCCCAATTATTGACATGTAGTCATACATCACGCTCTTAAATAACAACACAAAGACAATACAATGTAGTATGGAAACCCAAAAGCATCATGCAAAACAATCACACTGGTGGAAAATTTGGAAACAGCAATGTAAAATGCAGGCTGAAGAATGCCCACAACTACTAAAAACTGATAGTTTAAACATCTTACAAAATTACATCCCACTCAACCTCATGTAACTTTGGTGTTTCACAGATATTCAGCTTTTCACACATCTATGGTGTCCCAAAATACACATCAACTGAGTTGTGTTCTCAGTGACTCCACTTGTTCTTTAATGGCCTGTCCTAGCCTCTGTAGCTCTGTGGCCTGATCGGCCAGCCTTTCCTGTGAATCTTTCAGATAGTCGTTCATCCGGATGAACTGGACTGTCTGTGTATAGCAGTGATTGAGTTCAGATGATTTGGGCTTTGTAGAAACTGTTGATGGCACTTCAGTTGCCAAGGCATCTCTGCTGGTTGATAGATCTAAAAAAAAAAGAACATAGAAAATGCAAATAATCAGTGAAATTGATTAATCACATACTGTGTAAAGTCCAAGCTCTCGAGGAGAAAGTAAATCTATTCAATTAAAATCATTTTCAAAAATTGTAGACAGGGAAGCAACAAGAACATCAAACAAATTCTCCAAGAACACTGCCTGCATATGTTCAGCAGACTGTGCCATACTGGTAACCATACTAATAGCATAGAAACAACAACTGGGGACTGGGTTCATGGTCAAATATTAACTAAATGAATAAAGTGGTGTCGGGATACCACACACACAATACAGTGTTTTCTTACAAATTACACTAGACTAGTATCACTATAATTATGTTATAACAGAGGCATAACAGACTTTGTTATTTGGCATAATTCAGGTAATAATGTAACAGAGCATGCTAACTGTATGCCCATTTCCTCCCATTGTAATGTCGTGTGCATGGTCTCCAAATCACCAGGACAGCAATGGACACAGGCTATCATACACTGCTTCAATATGCTGGTGAATTGTGCAACTAACACTAGACAATCATGTAAAGATATTTCATGACAGAAAGCAGTTTATTATTCTATCATGTGAAAAAAGTGCTTATGAAGTTTCACTGGTAATGTCCTCGGTAAAATTTCATTTCACAGATATTATATGTACACATGTGACTCCATGCTCAAACCACAGATACTCTGTGACAATAAGACACTGTGCTTCAGTGGCTGTGCAATATATGTACAACGCTTAAAAAACATAAAATTCCAAAAAATGAAAGACCTGGCGTTACTGAATTAGTCCATTAGTTCATTGAACTGAACTAAATCAGCAGTAAATTTTCCATGACATAAAACAGCCTTTAGCATTTTGACAATTGTAACCCATTAAACAGGTGCTTTTGCAGAGCTCCCTCAAATTTGGACATGCAGGAGTCAAGGTCCTGACTGCTGATCACATCAACATACTTTTTGATCGACGAGACAGGAGCTTTCCCACTGCTTTGGAAGAAATTGAGTCAGGATCAAAGCATAATGCAAGTCAAAATTTGTCTGTTGTGAGAATTCATATACCACAAAGTCTTGTCAGGTTATGGTCGCAATTACTTTCTTCCTAAATTTTTGAGAAAAGTACATGTAACTTTCCAACGAATAGCAAATGCTTCTGCAGTCTGATGCTTAACTTGAGCATAGGGTAGTCTAAGTAACTTGCATGACTTGGAAACTACTGGTACAAATCTTGCATAACTTGGAAGCTACAAATCACATTTTTTAACATTTATACATGGTCGGGTGATAGTAGAGTCAAAGTACCCTTCATAGGCTGTTCCTTCAATTAATGGATTTCATTCAAAATAGATAACAAATTGTCCTACTCCCAATCAAATACCTCAAAAAGTTTGTTAGCTCGGCTGGAGTGTCATGACATTGTCTCCGGGTATATTAACATACAGTTTGAAATGCTACATGAAGAAGATACTGACTCTGAGCTCGGCTGACCGGCATTTCCAATTTAGATGGGAAATTTCTCTTTTCTTCCCTTATGTGAGTACACCTTACCATATCACCAGCATTGGAATCTCCGATTCCCACTGAATCCTAAGGTGGGCACGTTAAGGCACTTTCCATGTGCCTCACAGTTCCATATTTTCATTGCTTTAAAATGGCACTTTTTTAATCTATCTTCCATCCAAAAGCTGTCCACAATAAATAATCTCTCATTAACACGTAATCGTGATGGGTTTTTTGGACCATCTACTAGCTATTGTTCTCAAAATTCAGACCTTGTACTCATGATTTTGCCTCTCTCCAACAAATGATCTGCACATTTGAGCTGCATACTGCTCTGCATGTCCGTTAAACAGAAGAGTGGTTCCCATCGTGTCCCAGCCCTCCCAACATACATTACAGGGACAGTAATCAGTCCAATAACGCAACCTCATATCGATAGGTACGAGGCATTATTTTGTTTGACATGTTTACATGGTTAAGCATGTTAAATCTTCATTTAGGCCTACTTTTGCACAAAAATGCTGATCTCATTTTTTTCCCAAAAAATGTTATTGAGCTTGCGCCTAACATTATTTACTCCTGTTTTCAGTCTAAGGTCCATATAATATGGAGTTCACAGTCACTGAATGAGACTGGTCTGGTAATAGCCCCATAAATGGGATCCAGGTTCTAGGCATGCAAGGGCCTACACTGTTCCATACGCTGGGCATAATTAGGCCTCAGTTGAACCTTTTTTGAATAAATTTGGGGTTTACTGAAACCAGGCTTTAGCAACTTACATTTTCTTCCTTGAACTTCAAACCTTATGTAAGCTTTTAATTTTCTTATCACAGAATGGCTCTTACAGCAGCAGAACGAGCCAAAAGATACCATAATCGTATTAAAAACGACCCAACGTGGAAAGCTCATTACGTGGAAAAAGAGGGGATTTGAAAGGACGTGAACTATTTTCCTATTTCACAGAGAAGTGAGTGACAACAGACGAAAACAAGACAAAGTTGGTGCACGAGTACAAAGAAATATCGTCATACTATGGAACAAGTCCATGTCCAGACAGTCCTCCGATATCGCCAGTCAGTGAAAGTGCTTCAAATTCATCACGCTCAACTCTGCAACAGTCAGTTGATCTGAGGACCAACAGAGGTCGCAAGAAGGTCAACAAAAAAGAAGCAAAAGCCTACAGACAAAATGGAGTCCTTACCAGGAAATTAAAGCAACAAGAGAGACTGGTTCAGCGGTGGAAGAAGAGGTACCACAGGGTAAATGAACAGTTGCTTGAAAAGAAGGATTTGCCACGATCAAAAACAAGGAAGCTACTACTACAGTGGACAAAGAAGTAAAAAAAAAACTTGTCTTTCACCATGTTCTACTTGATGAATTGTGTAACAAGTATCGGCACAACAAGGCACAGCGAGATAAACAAAAAATCAGACGAATTGCTGCAAGTAACATAGTAAAAAATACAGGATGGTGAAACGTTTGTCGTTGACACTCGGAACAAATGCTCATCGCTCCATCCATAAAGACATGGGCAAAAACCTAAAATATGAAGGGTCCAGAGAAGCGACAGGGTAAACAACAAAACAAAGAAGTTACTCAATGACCTCTTTGAACACGATTACAACAGCCGACAAATGCCTGGCAAAATAGACACAATCACAAGAAACAATGACAACCTTAAAGTGCTTCATGCAGTTCCTGTATGAAAATCCAACACTGTCAATACACTACTCTGCCTCCTGTAAGCTAAGGCCCTGATGGATAGTGAAACCACCAATCATCAATCTGGACTCTTGCAGGTGTAAAAGATGCAGTAACATTAAGCTAATGGATCAGATTCTGGCTGTGAATAGAGTAATGAGTACTGTTGAAGAATCAATGAAGTCAGCTGTTTGCAACATCTGCAGCAAGGCATGTATGTATGGAGAGTGTGAGGTATGCCAGGGGAAACAAGTACATTTCCAGCTGCCTAAACAAGACAAGCTGCGAAAGAAACATTCAAGAGCACACTTTTCTCACTGTGTGTAAAATATGAAGCAGAGCTGAAGCACTGCTACACTACCCATTACTTCAACATTTTGCATCAGTACGCAGAGCTGAGAAAGTTAAAGGCAAACCTGGCAGAAAATTCTGTTATTGTGCACATAGACTTCTCCAGAAATTATAACTGCAAGTACACCGAAGAGATACAAAGTGTTCACTTCGGTGCATCACCCCAGCAGGTATCTTTGCACACAGAAGTGTATTATACTTCAGATGGATACTGTACATTTTGTACAATATCTGACTGCGCAAGGCAAGATCCCTCTGGCATTTGGGGGCATCTTGACCCAATTTTGCAGGAAATCAAGGAGCGAAACCCAGGCATAACAACAGTACACTTTATTTCAGATGGGCCCACTACACAGTACAGAAACAAAAAGAACTTTTTTCTTGGATCAACTGTCCCTAAGAGCAAAGGTTTTGATACAATGACATGGAACTTTATGGAAGCAGGGCATGGGAAGGGGGCTCCTGATGGCATTGTGGGTGTTGTATTATCCAAAGATGCTGTTCACCGATGATCCTGAAGTTGTTGAGCATCGGGAGCCGAGTTGCTTCTGCAATGGCACAAACTGCTTCAAAACATCCTGTGCAAGGTTAAGATGAGCAAAGGAGCAGGTAACCAAGGATAGGATAACCGAGAAGAGGACAGGACAAGACAGGACAGCCCGGGAAGGTACGACCCAGGAAGGGACAGTCACAGCAGACGAAAGAGAGGCACGGACAGACCAGAAAGAGACATCCAAGGAAAGGACAGTTAAACAAACAGTGTTCTGAAGCCTGTGACATTTGAGAATGCCAAGATTGGTGAATTGTGTGGTGGTATATGAGAAAGAGCCATATCCGGGCATCATTGACAAGATAGATGCAGACTCAGTAGAAGTGAATTCCGTGGCAAGAGTGGGGAAAAATAGATTTTTCTGGCCACTAAGGGAAGACAAGATATAGTATACATGTAAGTATGACGATGTTACTTGGATACCCCCACCGGAGAAAGTGACTTACAGGCATCACCAAGTTGCCATGGATTACTGGCGAGAAATTCTTGTAAAACTCGATGTTGAATGAATGCAAAAATGCTTAATGGGGTGTATGCCAATATCTGTGAAAATGTTGCCATGTTGTTACACATTTTTCTTAATTATCGCTTGATCAGGATGAAAAGGAGCCTGAAATGGAGCATATAAATGTAAATTAAACGGTGAATATTCCACTTTTCTACGGAGTGAGTTCCTTTATAACCTCTAAAATAGTAAAGACCACCCCAAAAGAGAGAAAAACCCCACAAGAGCAAATATCGCTCAAAAAGACGAGCTGTGTTGTGGACAGCTCTTTTTCAAGTTGTTACACGTATATGACTCCTTGAAAGGGTGGGAGCTTCAATGTTTTGGAGTTATTCCCGTATTGAGAGTGTTTTCACTCTGCATTTAGAGAGAAGAAAACAGGCTATGAAAAAAAATCATACCTTAGTTTAATAGTTTTTTGTTTCATTTAAAAGCATTTTGCTGTATTTTGCAAGCATATAATAAGACACAATTGCTCTAAGGCTCTACCTTCCATAAATGTTTTCTAATGGTAAAAAATTGACATGAATACATGCAGTTGTTGAATTGCCGCTAGCAAAATTGAGGAGGTCTAGTATCACAGCTTCAGCCTCCCTCCCTTAATTTAACTCCTGAAAATGGTTGCTTCATAAATTATTGCATCAAGAAACTATTACCAACTGAACAATTTGCATTGCATGACCCATTTTAAGGTTAAGTCTGTAAGAGATTTGCAAGTTTATAAAAATGCCTTAAAAACATATTTGGATATGTAGCTTCCTGTTTTCACACACTTAGAACCTCATGATGATTGACGTCATCTCCGTCACATGACAGAAATGACTTAATCATCTCCATCACAGCCGGTTATATCCATCACATACATGTAATGAATTTATGTCAGTGAACATCAAGCTAATATAAAAATCAATAAAGTTATCATTTGTACTTGATAAACTAACCATTTTTGTCCAGTACATGTATATCATCTGGAGCTCACTTTATATTTTAGGAAGTTGGAGTAAAATCATGTGCCAGTTACTGTTTTGCAAGAAAAGTCATTAATTTCGAGGCACTTAACTTTTTTGTGGATTTAAAATCGGTGTGTTATACCAAGGGAGCAGAGAATTTATATTAATTGTAAGACAGTACTCCATAGTTTTGAAGACTGTGGTATGAATGCAGATTTATAGTTTTCATTTGGTTTTATTTTCCAAGGTTGATTATCACAAAAATGTGACGGATATGACAGAAGACAATGACTGGCCCCACAAAAGAGGGGTGAAATTAAGTTAAATTCCAGTAAAGATTGTGCCAACGTGTTTTTGCTATGCCTGGGATGTTTATTTTCGTGAAACAACATTCAAAGTTGCAAAGAGATCGATTTTTCAATTGGTTTTCCAGAAACGCAAAAGTAGACAATTATTGAAGAATGACCCTTATATACATTCAGATGGCTAGGACGGGACAGGAACCAGTCTTCCGTTCAACGGACATGCACTGCATGCTGTATGCAGCTAAATTGTGTGGATCATTTTCTTGGGCCTGTTTGTTTACAGGGATCTGGATCTTGATCAGTGATCCTAACGCTGGTTCACATCATCCATTAGGTGAGTTTTGGTGTCCGTAAACAAACATGGTCCATGACAGGTAACCGGTATGATCGTGTGTGAAAGGTCTGAAATTTGATAAAAACAGGTTGTAGACGGTCCAAAAACCCATCACAATTACGTGTTAATGAGAGATTATTCAATGTGGATGACTTTTGGAGGGAAGATTGATTGAAAAAGTGCAGTTTTAGACAGAATAAATGGGCACATTCAGAATCCCATACCTGTAGGCTTTGCGTTACATAGCAATGAAAATTTGGGACTGTGAGGCACACGGACAGTTTAATCCTCACCCCTTTGCCTAGGGTGTATGTAAAAATCATATTGAAATTGGAGGATTTGGGACTGTTACTAGGTTAAGGACCATTTTAAAGGTGAATTCTGAGGATGTAAGAGGGTAAAGTTGCAAATTTTACATGGGCCTAGGCCCTCCTGAGTCAGAGCCCAGTGCTTAGGCCTATACTATAGTACCAACTAAGAAGGGCCCTGTTTCCGAGTCTACTCTGCTCCAATGATGTAGCATTGTTTGTAGGCCTACAAGGCTACATGTAGGTCAACAAGGCCCAATACTTACCCCCAGAACTGTGGGGTCCGACGTCCTCTCCACCACTGGGCGGACGTCCCATTCTACCTCCATGCACCCACTGAGTTCTGGGGGTAGCCAGCAACGTATACATGTACTTACGCGATGCTGCACTGCCCTTTGCGAGGTCATCGTCATTTGACAGGTCTACTGACTGAAAAAATGAGAATACTACGTCATTTGTTTGGGCTTTTTCAAGATCACTCAGAGTACTGTCAAGATCCGGTGGCTCCGGACGAGTTTGGATCATCTTCATCCTCTTCGATGCCATTGTTTTTTTAAGCAAACATACATGTACATGTAAATATGAATAATCTCATACTACAAGCATGGAGGAATAAAAACATGCTTCAAATGTACATGAGCATTTGACACAAGCGCAAGCGGGGCCGCACGGGTACGTAAAGAGCGCCCTCAATTCCTTCACCTACGCAGGTGTCAAACAGAAACGAACTGATAGCAAGGTGTTAAAATTTTTGAATACGGTTTTTAACTTTTTACCGACGTGTAACATTTGATACTCAGTGTTTATCAAAGAGCTTGCAAAAAAAGGCTTACTTGGGTGGGACTCAAACCGATGACCTCCTGTTTACTAGTGCAGACGTTTAATGGCCCTACTTATGTGTTTTTTGGTGCTCTTGAAATTGTTGATCATTATACTTGGTGTGATTGTATGTGATGATTTAAGCTAGAAAAAGCACATTGATTCGATTGTTTCTAAGACAACTGGGATGTTGGCCTTTAAAGAAAGACTGGTCATTTTAAAGATTCTCAAATTCAAGTGAAATTGTTCTGTGCTCTTGTTTGACCCATCATTGAATTTGCTTGCTCTCTGCAACATTCTATAGAAACGTCGTTTTTCTCGATGATGTTTTACCTCGAGTTTACCTCGAAGACACATAAATGTACCAGGATTTCACTTTGATAACTTAGACTATTTTTGCCCTTCACATTCAACTTGGATTACCCCCTCTACTTTATAGGTTAAATTTCCTGTCAGTAGTTTTCATTGTCAACTTTGTATAACAGGTTTTATGAAAATATTGAGAACTTGTCCATAATAGGGTCAAATTCATTCATTTCTCCTCACGTACACCAAGGATTTCGTAATTCGTTATTTGTTAAATTTACCAGATTGTGGGATACCTTACCGTTGATGTTGCTAATGAAAAATTGCCTTTGACCTCAACTCTTTTGTCTTAAAATTTAGAAACCTCTGGCTTTCCCCTGATCTTAAAATTGTATAAAAATTCATCTATGGATATCAGCATTTTAATGTAAATCATGAATAATTTATGTCTACATGTACATGTAGCTTTTAATTACACTCTTCAAGGAAACTGTTTTTTGTTTTTCCGAGCATTTTTACTACGTCATCTGTTATGACGTTTGTAAATGTAACCATAACAACACAACTTTAATTTTATTGTACATGCATTTCTCAGTCTCAAATAATGCTTCCTACTTTCCAATAAACCCCGATGCAATCTTGCCTAAACTAACCAGCAAATTGGATTACCATGTATTCTTGCCAGCCGACATGCTGATTTTATCATATTTGAATTTTGTTTGTATGTATAAATCTCTACATGTGATTTTAGTGTGTTCTTGTATTTGTTGCCATTTTAGCAGACCCCCTCGACAGTAATTGAATTCGCTTTCAGGTTATCCTTCTGGGAGTTAGCAAATGTTATTTAAGTCTGTTGTTTCATTTGGCTTTGTACCATGTTCCATGAGAAATAATAAATGAAATAAAATGAAAGTTGTCTTATTAACTACTCGACCACTGAACGTACAGGGATCGGCTGGTCGGTCAGAGTCAGATGTCGTAGCAGGTGCCGTGAACTATTACAAGATGTATTTTGCGACCGTGAAGATGTTAATTAATCTTTGCTAAATACGTCTTGTAACGTATGACTCATTGACTCGGAATAAAAAACAAGAAAATCCTGTTCTTCTATCTCCTTTTCCCACCCACCAGCTCAGAAAGATTGTTTCTCGTTTTCTTTCATACCAAGAACTCTGGTGGAGTGGAAACACCTGTATGAAAACACGTGGAGGCTGCAACTGTTCAAAGCTTTCAGATTAATCTCGGGGAGGCCGTCTTTAAATTGAGCTTGGTACAAGAATTGTGTAGAATTTGGGGTCAAATGCAGTTTCTATGATCAACCACTATACGCCCTACATTATGGAATCTGAAGGGCACATTAAAAAGGCACAAGAAAAATTCAACACGGTACCTTCAAACAAGGGCCAAATACTAAAACCCTCACGAGAACCCATCAAAACATACCAGCACTTTAAGTGTAGCTGCAATGATTTCGTAGACAAAAATGTTTGAAATGAAAAATGCACTTCTGCAACCGAGGACGCTGTTGCTGTGATGACATCTAGAGAAGACATGTTCAATGTACATTTTATTTTTTTTTGTTTAAATTGTGAACCTAGAATTTACTTACTAACTATTACTTTTTTTGAGGATGTGATTGATGCTTGTTTATTGCTATGCACATAAGAAATACTGAATCCGTGAACAAGATAGCATTTAGTCCATCATAATCTACAGAACCTAGGATTTTTGTGTACAACCTAATGTAACATTGAGGCTTTCTCCCTGAGATGACATCACAGTTTTGTCTATGAATATTGAAATACGTTAGCGTAAAAGCCAAAAAAGGCAGTAAAAGGCCCCTTTGAACAAGGGTAAAAATTTGAAAATAAGATTAACTGAGACATGGAGGTACATTGTGAACGTTTGTATTAAAACAACTTGATTGAAACTACCTTTTAAGAAACGGCACTGGCTTGGGGCAATTCTTGTGGGGATAGAAAGTTGGGTAGTCGTTATGCCTTGAAAAAAAATCATCTCATTTTGCCCCCATGCCTTTGTGACCTGGACACGTCACTATAATACGCACAACAGCAACATTCGCAAGAGACTTTCGACCTATTTTTCCTGTTTTATGAGCGGGTCTAAGTTGGGCGCTGTACTCCTCTTTGTAAAAATTTTAACTGACATTGGTCGGTCGAACTACATAAAGCTTCTTTCCAAACCAAAAAATTCCAACTTCTCAATATGAGAGATCTTAAGGTCAAGCAACCGCCAAGGTCAACACTACCACGACAAAACAGGTAGGAATTTCTCCCAAACCTAAATTTTTCCAAAAATTAGCCAAAATGTTCTTAATCCATTTCGTTGACTTTCGCGAATACTGGGTCATATCAGTAACTTTTCTTGTCCGATGCCCAACATGCATCACAGCTCAAACATACTCCTCAATTTTTCTTTTTACTACAGGTTTTCCCGGTTGAATTCATCATCTTCTCACACGAATTAGAGACACTTTCATTACATTATCACGAAATGGATTGACAATCTAGATCACCATTCAGAGAGCAAAACTGATCATTCAATTTCATTCTAAGAGCAACGATTGCACAATCTTGTTATTCAAAAAGTGAAAGGTCGGCATTTAATTTGGAAAAACACGTAAAAAGCATTCATATTCGCGCGGACACGCCTGCGGTATGTGTATTGGTGTTCAGTTCCGTGAATCAGCAAGCATGTGTGAGCTGAGATTTGTGAAGTGTTATTTCATTACACGTTACCGGAAATCTTTTAATTCTTTTTTTTCTTTTGGGACTAATTTATGCCAAATACTCAAGAAAGGAAACGTTGGTTAATGGGTAGAGATCTCTATGAAAATGAAAAGTAAAAGTATGTATACCATACAAATGGACTAAGTGGCGAAGTGTCTAAAAGGATGAGAAAAATGGAATGAAACGCACAAGCAAAAACATTATTTTAAAACTGTCACAAAAAGAAAATAAGCAATTGTTTAAGAAAATCCGAAATGTCCCAGCATTCATGCACATTTTTAAAATTGCATCTGAAGGATTTTTCTTTCAGCATCCGTGATTAACGTCCAGGGAGAGTTTCATTTCTACATTTTGATTAAACGGGCAGTCAGTGTAGGAGTAAATGTGCTGTATTCTTGATTTGATCTTGATCTAATTTGTTTGAGATATATAAAAACATATACATTCAAGTTCATGCGTGGGACTCACTTCTCGCATATTTTCATTTTGTAATCTCACTTTCTGTTCTAGACGTATATTCATCTTAACTTGAAGTTTTCCAATTTGAATGCTCAAAATGCGAACATGATTGCACACAGACGAAGACAAAAGTAAAAAAATCGGAAGGAATGTCTCATTCCTGTCACCCAGCGAAAAATCGAATGACGGTTATGCACCGTTCAATTGAATGAAATGAGTTTTAAACTGAAGTTGTTACAATACACTTCGACGCCAGTAAACGAATTTGAAGACACTATCGTATTTTTTCGAAAAAGAAACATGGGAGCAGCCAGCTTTAAAATCGTTGGAATACGAATGAACAGTTATATGAATTTGACTGTGAAGATGACGAATTCGGCCGGGAAAACCTGTATTTTGCATACTGATCTCCGCTTGCACGCACCTTTCATTACGCTGACTGTTTGAACCGCTATTGGCCTAACAGACGTGCTTGCACCACAATAGGTATCCTGTACGTAAAAGCCCGACGTTATCCTACCCTGCTATTGGTAGGGAACCAGCCTATCGTACTATATTGCGTCCCGAGGAATAATAGGCCAGTTTTACTTGAACTTCACTTTTATCACGCACCTAGCTCAAAATAATGCCAAAATAACGACAAAGATTTAAGAATAACACCTTCTATAAAGTGCCCACTTCTTTAAGCATGTCAAATACTACTTACTGTGACTTCGGTGGTGATGATGATCATCTCTGGGGAGTAAATTGATGAAATTGACACCGTTCACATTTTATCTGTATGCCGTGGCAACGAGTTTACTTGGGTCTATTGTACAAAATAATAACTAGCAAAGTTTGATCGGGAACCTACAGATACCATCTCTGTGTTATCTTCCAGGTACTTTGTCGCTGCAAGATAAGCATCTGATATGATTCAGTAGTTATTATAATGATCCTTGGTCCATTTAGACGTCAATGTTACTACAAATGAACTCACACTAGTGATGCAAATAAAGATTAATATTGCCTTCGTAACAGGCCTTTCCAGAACTAGAAGCCATTAATTTACTGAGGCGGCACAACGCTCATGGAAAGGTCGGAACGCGCGTTTATACGTGCCGCCTGGAGCAGAAGTACCGCATTATATTGGGTGCGTTCGATTAGCTTAAACGAGAGCGTTCGTTTAGCCATCACGTGATCCTGTGCCTGCCCTGGTGTCAGCCACTAGTACTCTAGCTAGTGAGCGGGTCTCTGGAGGCTGCCCGAGTGTAATGACGTCACGGAAGGACTGTTCGTGCATGGACATACATGATGGAATGTGGCGGGGACTTGACCTTTTCCCCAGAGTGCCTTGGCGATTGCACTGCAGCGTTCGACTACCCTCATTTCGAGGCTTCCCTTGAGTGTAACACTGCTGTATTCAGGAAGCTAATCGAACGCACCCAATGGTGAAAACAGCCATGTTCGGGCACGAATTGTAGTTCGCCCAATAGCCTGCTCGCGCAATTCAGTTACACGCGAATCTTAGTCGACCTATTTTTCAAATGTCGTCGTTACTAACATTTCACTGTTGGCTGCGAATCTCGCAGCGGACGTGGTCACTGAAATCTCAAACAATGTGAATTTCCCTCCGAGATGATAAATGAAATCGGTTATTGATAACCAGCGGTGCAACCATGCTCCGGAGCATGGTCCCAAATGATCGACGAGATGATCCAAACATCCATTGCTCGGGCGGTGTCAGTTGAACGATTGTATACATGTGGACTGCCAATGAGGCGTGCGCTAGTGACCTAATTGGGAGTCTGTATGTGTTTTAAAACACACCTCAAACTAAACTTCTTTAGAGCATCAATGCAATCCAGATCACCATTTAATTTTCTTTTCAGTACTCTGTGACTCTCTTGCATCGAATATGAATGATCATGAATTGATGCTGGAATTTTGGTGCATTCTCTGCCTGCTTGTTTGGGACACCTCTTTCTCTCGATGGTTTCCTTCAACATTGGCTGCCCTGCAGTCAAGAGCACAGGAAGAGAGGGCAAAAAGAAGGCTTTATGTCTGTGGTACTGCCTGACCCATATAAACACATAAATCGCCAGTCTTGGGTATATTTTGAAAAGTATGGGCAAATACTGGGCGACGCGGCGCATTACGAGCAACGCATTTATATTGCCTGTGTTTGTTTAAATGTGCTTCCAAATACGTTCACATTTTTTGCTCTACGGTACTGTTAACTCTTCTTTTGAAATGTTGCAACTGCATTGTTTTGAATCCCTACGGACCAGATTAAGTAAATGCAGGATTTGTTTTTACAATCGAAAAATTGCTTCATAGAATTTTCTTCAACTGTGCGTAAATTCCCTATGGGACAGCGCGGACACCCGGGATGATGGCTTTGCACTGTGATTTGCTACACTGTGCATGACCTGCGACCGTGAAGTTATCACTTCCTGTTGGCGAAGCCTTATTTAAATTCCTTGGTTTGCCAATGGCAATGCTTTTAGTACACGGGCAAAGCGTATATCATAAAAACATGGCCTTAGTAAAATTACAGCCTGTGCCATTTATTTTCTCACCACTAAGTATCACTGATCACACATCATTTGGGGTTATATTTCAAATTATTGGTTACCTTGATCAATTTTGGAAGAACAAATGAAGTGTAGTGAGAATATTTTCAGCAATGAGGAAGAAAAAGAAAAAATATCAAGTTGAAAAACGTCTCTTGTGTAACGTATTTAGCGAGCTCGCGCGCCTGGCAGAAATTTACCAACAATGCTTTGCGTGTAACCCCTTGTGGCGTATTTCCTTCAATAAACTCTGTGCAAGATCATCAGCCCTTCCCAGCGCCCATTATTAGTAAACGGCAACATTACTCATGACACAAAAACCGGCAGCGTCCTCTCGAAACGTACAGGTGCCCTCTACCGGCGTAAGAAACAAATAAAGGCACCGGGATTACTTTTTGTTTTTATCAACATCTTTTTTAAAGCTGCACAGTAATTATTTTCCATGGCCGTTAATAAAGAAATACCGATATAAAAACCTGTTGTTAAGAATTTGGAAGCGACGCACCACTGTGACATTTATTGATTCTGAAGCAAATTTATAGGCCTAGGCCTAATGCGCCGTTTCCATAAAAATGATCAACAGTGCGGTACAAGTTTTCGTAAAAAAATGAATGCATGAATGAATGAAGAATGCCACCGCGTTAGCACCCAAACCATAGTATAAGGATATGTCTGTCCCGCCAACAGGGAGAATAATTTTACTCCGACCTAACCCTGCTGGCATTGGTGATGTCTCAATCTTTCCCGGGGACAGACGCCTCCAACCCGACCTACGCTAAAAGAACAGTAATTATACCAGACACGGTGACACTAAAATTACGGACCACAGCTAAACCTACATTAAAATAAACATAAAAAATAAGAATCAAAAATCTTGAAGTGCAATATTATTGTGCAACTGTAACATTAAAAAAGCTCTGCTCGGACCGTATGTGCCATGGCAACGCATTCAATAATTTAGGAATTAACAGCCATTGCAAATGCCCTGTCACCAAGAGTGGGCAGCATTTTACCATTAGGGTAACTTAACAAAGGACCGTTGCTTTCTGGCCTGAGATGATATCTAGACTCCTTAATGATGACAAGATTCATTAAGTATCTAGGAGCAAGACCATGGATGGCCTCGTATGCTAACAGGATGATTTTGAAGTTAATCCTGTACAAAACAGGTTACCAGTGAAGGAGTGTATTGGTGTTAGAGGTTGAAACATGGGTGTTGGCGTAATCGTAAGAGGTCTAGGTGCGGTAAAGTCAAATATTATAAGATCAACAGCTGCTGTTAGGATACGGGAGTTTACGATCAACAGCTAGCCTACCTACCCAGCCGGAAATAACCGGACATCAATGGTACCATCCGAAAATTCCGAATATAGACGAGACGACTTCGGAATATTTCGGCTATTTCCGGAAAATTGGAGGAATTCCTCCAGTCTTGGTCACGTGCACATTGGGCAATACCGGACCCTTGATTCGTAGAATAGTCAGAATCATCAGGTCTGGTATCCAGACTAGATTCGACTAAGATTATGAAGGTGGAAAAATGCTGCATAACACGCCTTAGTGATGTGGATGCCCATTGCCATTTACGAGTCGAACCATGATCCCAAATTCCTGACGCACGTTGATGGAGGGATTACGGAATCGCTCACAGTGACGTTGGAAATGTTTATTTTCTGCAACTGTTACCTAGTTCCAATAATCAGGAATTCACACTTAGCATCAATGATCGTTAGCCTGTCGTGCAGCATCCAATTTCTAATGTCCAGAATGCAACTTTCCATTACAACTAGAGCAGTTTGGCAGGAAGTGCCATCAGGTTTAAATGATAAATACAACTGTGTGTCGTCTGCATAACAGTGGACATCAGGTAAATGGTCTTCAATGATGTCAAATATTTTAGAAGCATAAACCGTAAATATAAGTGGCCCTAAGCAAGACCCTTGAGGGACATCACAGTGTAGATCAAATTTCTCTGACGAGTACCCTGAATAAAAACCAGGCCAGAACTTTGCCAGATATCCCAACTGTAGAATCTAAACGTTGCAACAGGATGGTGTGAATACGTATCGAAGCATGGCAGCACTTTTCCACTTGATAAGCAAAAATGACATGCCGAGGAATGAGGAATGCGTATGCGTGTGGTAGAGTGCCGTGGAATGCGGATGCGTACGGGGGGGGGGTTGGAGCTACTGCGTACGTACGTAAGCCACGCGTACCGGGGGGGGGGTCTGAAAAGTCGGCATTTAATGCCTATGTACTTTATGGACGGCCCCTAACAATGTCATTTAAGAACACAAGCGATGTAATTCATACTCCTTGTGATGGAAGGGGGCCATACTATTAGAAACGGCGATCTCTTGCACACAGGAACAATCACGAGTACAAAGCCTTTTAACAGAGCACTAAAAATTCCGCCTAGATTGGAAACTAATAGCAAAAACGACTTAATTGGATTTTCTGAAAAAAAAACCAACAAACAAACGAACAAACGAACGAACGAACGAACGAACGAACGAACGAACGAACGGTACGAACGAACGAACAAACAAACACCCCAACAACCCAACAAACAAACAAACAAACAAACTAAGAAAGCCAGAAAGCCTGAAAGAAAATGATTGGCAAAGTCGCACCCCGGCCCTGTACGGTTTCAATGGCCCGCTCACACTTCTTGCCGCCAAGACCATTTTGTGTGCATGGGTGCTATACTTGTGAATTTATTAGTGAAAAGGTCTCTCTTGCACCACGCAAGAATCCTTCTGCATGCCGCCCCACCCCCGTTTTCAACTCCAGTCTTGTCCCCTATCTCTAACCACTTTCCTAGATTTATACCGCTGCTTCCTCTAATTTCACCGCGTTAATTAGATCGTCTACCAAAATTACCGCCGCCTGGGCCCACAAGTGTTCTTTTTTGTGATCATTTTTACATTCCAATGAGACGCGTTGGTGTTATCATTGTGCTTTATTCAGGGATGCTGGAAGCTTTACTTATACACGTTGGACCACCGAAACTGCATACTGACTGCTGTGTCGTGGTTGTTTATTTTGAAGACCACACTTTTCACTATTTGTTGATCACCATCACCAATACACGTGGTGATTGGGCCAGGCTTATGCTTTAAGGCGGCGCTGTTGCATGAGCAGTATAGTGCCGTGTAGACTGTTGACAAGCACATCGGCTACACATCCGATCTAACGTACCTGTACTGCATGTGAATGTACTGTACATGTACTGTATATTGTCCGGCACATCGGCTATACGCCTATCAACGGACAAGTACGCTACAGTGTCACTTTATAATGTTGGTCTGATCACCCTCAGCGCGCATAGTAAAAACCTCGATCTTACGTCTGGTTGGCACCCGGCCCCTCGCGTTTGGAAACGAACACCTCAAGAAATTTTTCCGACTCGCCAATAAACTTGCAGCATTCATGATAAGATGGAGAGGACTGGAGAGGTCTTGGAGCAAGGGCGCAGCAACGGGGTACAACCGCAGCACCGCATTTTACCGGTAAATTTATTGGCGTTTCAGAGTCTTTTTGTTGTGAGTGTACACTGGTATCAAGCACTTTCGCGTGCTGTGATTATTCCATCCACTGTACTGCAGCAAGTGCCCAGGATCGCGGGGGGGGGGGAAGTATAAAAGAACTTAACATTTTTTTTGGGCTGGATAATTGTCCCTTGGCAGTAACCGTATGTCCAAACACATGGTAAACAAATGAGAATCAATCAATTAATTAAAAACTTACTTTTGTGAACTGTTTGCAGACTATACACAATATTTGAAAGGTAGCTCTGTCAGTCTGTGTATCATGTATACACTATGACTACTATGAGCAGATAATAGGATACTCTGTGTTATTCAATTATGCATAATTATAAAGTTTAATCAGGGCTAAAAATTGTTGATCTCTTTCAACACACTAACATGTTGGTTCATCTGTACAAAAAATTATTTTTTTTGTACCTAATGCAATAGAGTTTGGGTACTCTGAGATACATGTAAGTTTTGATTTAATTTGAGTCATGTTAATGGAATGATTAAAGAATTAACCTTGTTGGTTCTGTACAAATCCTGCATGGAGTCATGAAAAATTAATGTTTCATTGAATAAAAAATATTTCTTAGTTCCAAAATTAGTGTTTCTCTATTGATATACATGTATTTTTCGTGACTGGCCATCATTGGAACTATACATGGTATACTAAATACGGGATAGTGGAGTTACAACACTGCTTTCTTTCTAATGCATAGGGTGTCATGTTTTTAAGATGAAACAGAACTTTCAGCAAGGTCAGGTTACTTGAAAATGACTTAAGAGGGACAGAGTATACAGTACAGACACCACTAATGCTTCCTCTGTAGTGACTGTTCAGCTGTCTGAAAGCAATAAATGTTCTCTAAAGTCAAATTTACATGAGCATTGAATAAAATGAGACCAGTCTCATGGACTTTGTGCATAGGGTGTCACGTGGCAATTCAAGTGGAATTCTTTTCTGTTAGAATAATGGGAATGTTAAAAAGGCATAAAATCTCCATGAACCCTTTTTAAAAAAGCATGCTACAAGGGTGTGAATATATGAAGCAAGCAGCATTATCTTTTCAACATTCTCATCATAACGTTGAATTGATTATTAGTGCAGTGACAGTAGCTTGTATATGTTTTTGAGATACCATAACTACGCTGACCGTCTGGCATTCATTCAGTTCTCACCATGGATAGTACTGATGTTGATGATCTCAATTTAGTGCAATTCATGACTTGCTATCATTAAAGCTCATTTCAGCTAATACAACTTGGCCATGCATCAGTTCCTTTGTAACGATGTTGTTCTCAGTACAAGTTTGGGAAAGCATTCGTAATACACGCAAAATGTTTTTTCCCTGGGACAGCTTAATGTACACAAGGCTTAAAAAGCGCAGTGTACCACGGTAAATCACAACATGCAACTTACTCATAATGCGCAATTCATGATTCACACAGCTCAGAGGTGCATATTTTACAGCACTGTATGTACATGTACATTACATGTACTTTTGTCCCAAAGCAATTTTTTTCTATAGTGATCAAAAAAATTGAAACTTTTGTCAAGGTGAGACATAACTTGTGTGAAATGGAGTCATTTACGCATCAGCAGATTTTCACCAATAAAAAGCCTTCTGGTAAAAATACACGTAGCTTGGGCTTGAACGACAGCATGACAAAACTTAGACAGTTTGGGCATTTTTGTGTGTTTTGAGATAAAGATAAGCCAAAAAACCTCTTCAATTCCAGACTAAATTTATTAGAAATAAAATTTATATGACTTGTGTTACTATTACTTGACATCAATAGGATTCATTGCATGACTCACAAGTACCCTGTTTATCCTGGTATCCTACATGTACGTGTAGAATGCTCTGGGAATTTCTGATTTTTCTAGGAAGTCCCTAAATTTGAGTAAACATCTTGACACAAACCTGGATAACCAGAAACCAACTTACTGTGAAAAACCCTGAAAACAGTGAGCAAATAAATGTAACTTACTGGTAGATTAATCAAACTTTTAAGTGTGACAGTATCTTATTCCAGAGATTTGATTTTTTAAAAAGATCTAACAGTCAAAGTAAATCATGTTGAAATACAGTAGAAGGTTGAAGGATATTTATTGTATTTTAATGTATTATTAGTCTTTGACTGTTTCCTCATGATCACCAACTTGTACATGTTAAGTATGGCTTGGTTGTGCAAGTGTTGTGTGTCTTGACTTCAGTATTTTCATTCTTTTTGTATTTCAATGTAGTTTTTGTCAATGTAAATGTTTTCTTTGTGATCATTAAGGGACATTCACATTGCATTCGTAGGTTTGAAGAGGATCAGGTGAAGTGAGATGGTATACATGTACATGTATAGTACCGCACCTGTACCGGGTACCATGCAGCAAGACATGTACATACTGTACATGTACGTCCAGTGGTCCCTTCATTGAACTGCAAAAATTATCTCAGTTGGAAACTTATTATGCTTGGTTTCTTTTTTGTGTTCTTTTGCCCAGCCAAAGCATCACCATCCCTTCTACAGTCAAGCCATGACATCTACATTCTCTGTCAGTCATGCCAGACGGCAAGAGATCTTGCGTCGTCTGGAGATGATGAACGGGCGAGATGATTATGATTCCGATGAAATGGATGGGGAACTGAATTATGGGGATGAAGAGGAGCTGGAAGAAGACAAATTGACAGCTGAGGATAAAGAAATTGACTTGTCCCTCAGACACCTAAACACAAGCAAACTGAGTCCAAACCCTCATCCGATATTCCCTCCGAGGCATTATAAAACCTCACCACCCAGACATCCAAAGACTCCTCCCCCGGTAAATGGAGGCCCTGTTCACTATGAATCTCACAGAAGAAGGAAATCACTGTCGCCCACTTCAGCAATTAGAGAATATGCTGCACAGGGTGACAGAGCGTGTGATAGGTCTTCACTAAAGCGATCGTCTACAGAGAGGTCTTTGGAGAGACCCAGCGTTGAGAAGTCACCCTCAGAAAGTCCCTCCTCACCAGAGACCTCAGAGAGGTTCTCACAAGGAAGAGGTTGCACAGAGAGAACCCCCTTCGAGAGGTGTCAGAGTGAGAGGTGCTCGTCTGATGATGAGGCCAACTCTCTCAGTTGCTCAAACCAACCAGAGGACTATTCCATTAAACTGGAGAAACCCTCCGATTCCAGCCTGTATTCTGAAGATGAGAACAACATCTCTGAAGACACCAAGCCTGTCTCACCAACAGTATTCAAGGAGGCAGGGAAGCCGGGGGTAGGAGGGCAGTCAGAATGGACCTTTGAGGAGCAGTTTAAGCAGGTCAGTGTTGTTCAGTTTGCTTTTCTCTTAGATATTTTTTTTTTTAAAGACAAAGATGAAAAAAATACCCCAAACTGTACGTGTCCATACACTGTACATGTGCAGTACATGAATGGTATGTCCACATTCACTCAGTTTGCGTTGGGGGTCCACAAATGTATGCCCATTGAAAAAACAATTTTTTTAACCAAAGTTTCAAACGTTAAAACAAAGCACATTGAAAAATGCCAAAGAACGAAAGACTGTGCAATTTTTTGAATGTGTGTGCTCTTAATAATTTAGCAATGATATGATGATATGAGACATCCATTACCAATTTTGCCGTTTCCCATTTCTGACCAGAAACTCTGTGCCAAATTCTTATTCTTCTATGCTGTAGGATTTGTACACACTTTATAAATTCTGTTAAGTGCACTGATGATCCACTACTGTACATACATGTACATGTAGAGCCTATGGTTTAATGGTCCATTCAAAGGATATGACCGTCGGATCACAACAGATCTTCCATATGCCCAGTTTATACTAATATTGTCAACATTGGACAATGCTTTGATGCCAGTTATGAGTTAACGTTGTACCGGTGTATAACTTTCAAGGTACTGCTACCGCTTGGTCTTCCATCAGGCCATTTCCCTGTGATGATAATTTCATTTCATGTCAAATGATTTCCAGTGGAATAGCTGAACATGAAATTTTGTATACGGGTAACTTACACAAAGGTACATGTTAAATAAACTTGCCAAAATATTCTTTAAAAATATGTTTACTTTACATAGACTGTTAATTTGGAGTTCATGTTCCCATCCCCCAAAGCAATCCAGGTTGTACAATAACCTTTTTTTCTACTGGCCATTTGGATCAGTGCAGTCAATACGTACCGTACTGGTATGTTTATCTTGACTGGTCTGTCACAAATTGGGCTGGTGTGTGCATTAGATTTTTAAAATTACCTTGTAATAAAAGATAACAAATTTACCTTATATTGTCCACTCAACTGAGGAATAGAATTGTGAAGTGTTTTGATAAGACAGATTTCCGTAAAAAGTGCAAAAAATTTGAAATTTGCATCTCCACTACATGTACTTGTAAATTAATATCCTTTATTGCTGAATGTGTTGGGAATTTTCTTTCTGAATATGAACAGGCCCAGGGTACATGTATTAGACATCATACATAAGAATTCAATGAAATAAATTATAAGATTGCAACAACATTGTTCTGTATTGGATTTTTTTCCCTTTTCAATTTAGAGCCAGTCAATTTTATTTTGGACAAGAAATAAAACGTTTAAAGTTGAAGCTGTGGCAAGAGACACAAGAAACTACATGTACCGGTACATTGTACCTGTACCGTACTTCATCCGTGGTTCTTTCTTTTTGGAGTTTGAGTACATGATGTATGTAAATTGGGACTCTTAATAGTGAGTGGTTGTGCTCGAGTTAAGTATGTTTAAATATGAATATGTATCTGCTTTGGAAAGAAATGTGCTAAATAGATCTGTTTCCTTGTACTTTTGTATAATTACATCTACACTTTTTTTGACTGCTCTGATGTAAGAGCATTGCGCCCAGGGGCAAACAATTGTTTTGTCATACCTCTGTTTTAAAGAATTTATCCAAAGAAACATGCTCTGAATTTCAAAAGTTTAGAAGATGTTAGGCCTAGTGTCAAACTGTATAATTGAAACAGATGTAAATGATATCACCTGCAAATGCATTGTTCCCTCACTGTCTTTAATTGCATAAACTTTAATGTGAAAGTAGTGCAGGTACCAGCGAGTATAAGTTCACATGTAATGTAGTCTGATTAGCAGTCCCTGCATTACTTTGTACGCTGCGGAGACTGGAACGAGTCTGTTGTACGAGCGTGACCATTGATCAAATTCCCTGGTAAATCATGCACAAAATGTATCATGGGTACAACGCAAAACTGACTAAATGAGCAAAAATGGTCACTCTCAAACATCCCGAAACTCTTCTGTCTCATGCGCATGCACGTGTTATTGGCAGAATGAGATGTTTCACGGTGAGTGTGATATATGCGTATATTGCCTTGTCATATGATCATTCTGGGCCAATGAATAGACAGTATTCACTGAACATTCAGCAATACCAAACACTAGCCTTTTGCTCCCAAACTTTACGTACACGTACTTCATTCTGCTAAATTGTTGCAGAATGCCTCTATTCGTGAAAGTTGTCAAATCTTAGTCCTTGGAAACTGAAATGTGTGAATATCAAGGATTTTCAACTGTTGAAATGACTCAAAAAAAAAAAAATTAAAGTTGTACTTGTTAAAGAACAAAGGCCAACACAGTTTGTGTCACAGGTACATGATACATGTGTGTACTGGCCACTGGTGCTCACACTGTATGCCAACCAGGTGACAGTCACATGAAAAATCACACTTTGTCATTGTACTACTGGTACGTGTGAGACAAGGATTTTGACCCCTAAATGAGTACTTGAAAATGAAGTACAGAAAAGAGAAACCCATTTTGTAAATTTGCTCATTAAGTTCATCAAATGCTTTGATATTTCAGATCATTTCCAACATTGTTTGTACTGCATTATTGTTGAATCAGGACACATATACGTGTACAGTCATCTGTGCACAATAGCTCCTTGCTCCTGGCTCTTATGCGGAATGTGTTTTCACCACATCACAGCATGCGGTGAAAAATCTTGTCACATCATTGTAAGTAGTTTTTAAAGATAAACTAATACTCCTTTTTCTTTAGGTTTATAAATGTAATAGTTTTCCTTTTAATGGGAGCAGATATTTAATAAAATTGGAGGAAATATACCTTGACCGGTCCCTGGACCTCATCAATAAGGATTTTATTTGTCTGTGATGATTCTGACTGGCATTTGGCCACTGGAGTAGTGTTACATGTACATTGTACATGTACACGTACTTGTATGTTGGAACCCTGCATGCTAACATTTCAGGTGCAGCTTGCACTGCGACTCAAAATATGTTTGACAAAAGTGACATGATCTGCTGGCCGATACTCTGGTGTTTAAGGAGATTCATTTCCTATAGATGACTGATTCTTTCTTGATGAGTCACTACCTGAAACCACGGATTTTGTTTCAACATTAAATGCAGTTTGCACTTTCTGTTGTTGATCCAATAACAATACCATTGTGTTCTCAAAGGAAAGGACAGTCTTATGTACATGTATTTGCCATTAATTTCAAGATGTGCTTCATAACCTCTGGAAGTTTTTATTTAATTTTTAGAAATGCACATCTTAAATGTTTGAAATGAGTTTCAATCTTGGAAGCACATTTGTACATGTATACATGTACATGTAGTATGCAATGGTCTAGTCATCAGACAGTGAATGTGTGTGCAAAAGGAATATTGATAAATTGTTTGCAGAGTCTGGTTTAAAAGTGTGGTCTGATGACTGGTCAGACCAGTCACCTGTCAAAAAAAGGTTGAATAAACTGCAACATTTCTGTTGTGACTGTGTGCTATTCTCGAATCCCACTTTGCTCCCCTATTTCCTGTGCTGTGTTCTCATTTTCCCAGTGCTGGATTTCATGGCCTACTAACAGGACCTTGCTACTGTTTGTTCTTACGCACAGAGTCTCCAGTGGTTGTGTTTGCATTATCAGGTGTTTCTTAGTATTGGATAATCTGTTTGCCAGTGGGGAAATCCAGGGAGGAATGTTACAGGTCTTTGGCTGGTTGCATAAAGAGTAATTCTGGAGAAGTTTCCTCACTGGACACTGGATGGTTCAATAGCCCTTAAATTTCCAATTTTTTTCAGGACTTACTGGTACATGTACATGTACATTTAATTTAAGCATGTTTGTATTTCCATATTTCAGTTGTGTTTCTACTTAATGTACAAAGTCAATGCACAAAGTGTTAAGGACCTTTCAATATCTCCCTCAATCAATCGAGCACCTGTACAAGTGCAGTGTTTTCTTTTTTGGTTTGTTTTTAACTTTCAACCATGTCAGACGCCATGTACATGTAATGTAAAAGTGGCTTGGCAACCTCTCACATTCTCACTTTTAGATCCCCATGGCCAGAAGCTATCATTTCATCTACCATTTACCAAATAAGAATCACTAGCTTGCTTTGCATCTCAAGACTCGGCTAAAATGCCAGCCTGATCCCCATCCATTAATAATTCACCTGCCTTTGTCTGATAACATGTAGCGCCACTATAGACCCCATGTTCCTTGCTCCTCATCCTTCCTTATAAAAAATTACCTGAAGGAGTGCTGAAAAGAGATAAGAACCGATCAATGAAAGTAGGGATTACATCCGTAGGGTCTTGTTATTTCAATGGCGTCTTTTATCAGGGAGCATTGAGCCATCTGTCGCAGGACACCAAGGTAGTGACAGGTACATCACTGGCAGTTGTAATCTAGGAGAAAAAAAGTGGATTGATGCTGGGTCTACTGTATTTTAAAGTGACTTCAATGAGGGAGGGTTCAGTCACAGCTGAATCGGCCAATGATTGATTGAATAAATAATAACATGTCTCTTAGTTTTCTTCTTTGAATGGAGCAGGAATGCATGCAGGGATATTGGAAAAGATGTTGCAAGGGAGTTCTAGTAGCAGCTATCACTGGCACCTACCATACATGTATACCCCATTTTATTGACTGGAAGGGCCTTATATGCAAATTCACCGCTTTTTCTTCCAAAGTTTATCACTATTGAATGTTCAGTCCAGTCTGAATGCCATATGATACTGGTACATGTACATGTATTATACTTACATACATGTACATTTAAGTATTGCCAAGTATCATATAATGCCTTTGTAACTGAACAGAAACAGTTCCACCTTTTATAAGGTACATGTATCTACCGTATTCTTTGTTGTAACCGGAGTTAAAATTCCCTGAGAGGTAATCCATAGATGGTTGTGCGGAACAGTTCTGAAAGACATCACCTGCAACATGAGTTTCAATAATTGGACTGCTATGTGAAGAATAAAAGAAAGACTAAGAGCTGAGCGTCACAAG